GTGTCAGAGTTTGTGAAAGTGTTATCTGAAAGGATGGATGATATCAACATCAAGTGCGTTCAAACTTGAAAACGTTTGCTGATTCCATGAAGCTATGTTATGATAAGAGATCTACTGAAGTCAGCTTTCTACCAGGAAACAAGGTATGGTTGTATAATCCCAGGAAGACCAAATGGAAGTCTCCCAAGTTGTCTTCTCCATGGGAAGGTCCATATGACATAGTGGATCGTCTGAGACGTGACTTTCCGGATAAAATGTGGTCGGCGAGGTAAGCCAAAAGTGGTGCATGCCAACAGGCTTTGGAGTTATCACGGTCCAGGACATTTCAGTTGGGATGAAGTGAACAACAGAACAAATGACGCTGCTGAAGACGTGTCACCTGAAAAAGCCACTGTCGAAGAAGAAACACTACCTGGTTTTGAGAAGGGAAACAATGAAGCCCTTAAAGAAATTACTACCACTGATGTGACTGTTACCAATAATAGGACATTCCCTGATGGAGCAGATGAACCACACGTGAAGCAGAAGCCAACGAGACGGAGACCAGTATGGAAGAAGATACGTCTCATAAAATTAAGAGACTTTGTTGAATTTTCATTTTGTGTTTGTAAATTCTGTACATTTAATTAAGTTATTGTTAATTATCTATTGGTTTAATGTAAGTGGCTATTGTTCGGGATGAACGATACTAAGGAAAGGGCAGTGTTACGATAGCGGAAGTCACGCGATGCTGGGAACATGCGTGCTGGAGTTTCTAGAAGGATCATGACTTATCGGGCAATCACACTATTGTCCCAGCGTTTGCTAAATGCCCTCTTTTTTAGTATATAAGCCTGGCAAAAAAAGCCAGCGATAGATAGATATGCAGATAGATTGAAGACAGAGATAATTGAGTCAAGCGAACAGTAGGCACCGTAAGTAAAGTGTGTGAATCGCTGTGAATTATAGCATGTGTTTAGTTAAGTTAAAGTGACTGCGGAAATTCTGCGTATTGCAAAATTGTATTGAGAAAGAATAAACTAGTTTTAATTAAGAAAGGACTCGTATCACTGAAGTTCCTTAGAAAGAATTTATACCG